TCTATGCTTAAGCCGGGGATTAGGTCGGTGATTAAAAGGAAAGAAAGGGATTCTCTCCAGGTAGCCTTAATAAAGGCAGGTAGATCTTGATCGTTGCAATGCACTTCACCTCACAAACAAACACGTCCGCTCAGCTCGGCTGTTCGCTCTGAACTGAATTGTCCAACTATAATGTATCGATTTTCCATGGTCAGTTTTCAAAAAAATATGGATTGTCATATACTCTATCTTATATGAATTCCTTTTCCATCAATTATTCTTATAACATCTGGAAATTCATATTGGGCAAAATATTGTTCGATTACAACTGCCTCATTATCTCGGCCATTCTATTATTATTTGTGGAGGCAAGTTACTTAGCAAGTATGTACCTTTTCTGGTTGTTGTAGAGCTGAAGGCAATGCAAAATTTACCAGAATCATGGGTGAAATAATCAGAAATGGCAAATTTTTCTTCAATTCTGTTAGCTACTTCCCTGTTGCTAACACGTAAATGTTAAAAAAAACTTGGCCACTATATTCAGGTACGGTAATTTCAAAGTAGTTCTTATTTTTTACTGTTTCTGTTTCTTAGAGTAAATCTATTTCATCATCACTCAAGCTGGACAATGCGTCTAATAAGTCATCTGAATCACTGGACTCAAAATCGGACATCTGTAATATTTTAAAAAGTTTATTTAAAACACCGAGTTTTTTATTATTCTATTTTTTATTACCACAAGTAAAAATTCCATATTAATAATACAAGAATTACTATTTTTTTAAAGGCAACTTCCTGTATAAAATGTGACTATTTTTTACTAACATTAAACTAAAATCTTTAACAAAGTAATTATCAAAAACATAAATCTTACTTATAGGTTAATATTAACAAGATCACGTCATAGATTCCTTGAAACCTAGTTTCTTTCTACGAACACCAAATTCTTCTCATAGAGTTGATATTTTTTATTATCTATTTAGTTTAATTACAATCCGGAATGACATATTTTCATGATTTATATCATTCAAGGTAGCTTACATTATTTATTTTAAAATTTTTAACACATCACAAAAATGACAAGATTGATTTATAATTCAAACTGCGGCAACTGCCACTTTTTTATCCCCCTCTCTACATATGGGACATATGGAACACTAGCGCCCTCTTATTTTTGTAAGATTTTTGTTTACATGGAGTTCGGGCTCCTTATGTACTCTCCATGCTGGCAACTCTGGCGTGAAGCTTGGTTTTGTAATCAAGATGGAAGATGGAACTGATGGAAGAAGAAGAAGAATATTAAATAACCTCAAAATTCTAGAAGTAGTAGATTATTAGAAATTAATTTTTAAATATGAAAACCTAAAAGACATTCATTCAAAAACTTCTTAATTAAGAATGAATTTTCAGAAAATTATACATTTTCAATATATTTTCGGAAGATATTTAAGAAAAATAAGACTGAGTACTTTCAGTTGGGAAAGCAGGCAACCTATTCATAATAATTTTAACAATATCTCTAATGTAGCTGCTCAAACATGTTTGCACCACTTTACAATGCCTTGTGTAAAGTCATATGCAACTGTAGTGCCAGATTCAGAAGCATTAGTAGACAGCAATGTTTTTGAAAAGGTATGTGAAGAAACTCTTGAATCTCTAACGGAATTCTTTGAGGAGCTTATGGAAAGGAAGGAGACATTAAAAAATGCTGATGTATCATATAGTGTAGGTATTTATTTCTATTAAATATTTAATCATTAATTAGAATTTTCTTATAGGATGGTGTTTTGACAGTCAGTTTAGGTAATAAATTAGGTACTTACGTAATAAATAGGCAATCTCCGAATAGACAAATTTGGCTTAGTTCTCCTGTATCAGGACCTAAGAGATATGACTTTGTTGTTAATGGAAATTATTGGATTTATAAACATGATATGGTACCTCTGCACAGATTGCTCCAAAATGAATTATCGACAATTCTAGGAGAAAAAGTAGACCTTTCAAAATGTTTACATTCAAAAGTTTAAGTTTATATGTGATTTGTCTAATTTAAACTAAAATCTAAACAAATGAAATTTTGTAACATTACAGCCTGGAAACCATATACCTAATTTTTTAGATGATGATTTCTAAGCCCACAGGAAATTTTTATAATGAAAAAATTTTGTATAAATTTTGCGAATTAAAAAATTTAAATAGGCATTTTTAACCCTGAGATGTCAAGAAGAATTGCACATATATTGCAATACCTTGCTACTTATAGATATAATCAGTTTTTTTTTTAATTTTATATAAATTTTCCAGCAAAAGTATTTGTACAGAATAGCATGCGACACATAAATGATCTGTACCGATCATAGATTTGACGGTATACTATGGATGGAGCCAAAGCCAACTTTCATCCCATTTTTCGATGGGGTTAAGATCCGGATTTTGAAGAGGTGTAGCAAGGATATGGGGTATATTGAACGTAATCCACTGACTTACTACATATGATGTATGCTTTGGGTCATTGTCCTGCTGGAAATAGTAATTACTGCCTATTCCTAGCAAATTGGCAGTTTCTTTTAAATTTTCTTTCGGAATGCTTATCCATAATACCCTCTATTATTACTAATTTTCCAATATCTCATTCCTCCATGTAGATTGCAAATTCTTGGGATTCAGTTTTTCGTTTAGTTCTTTCCTTATGCGTATTTGTCCGTTTGATACGATATTAAATTTCAACTCGTGAGAGAAAATTACTTTATTCCAGAAATCAGGATTTTTGATGATATAACTTTTGCAAAATCTAAACCTTTCTATATGTTTGTAGCACTAATGTACAGCGAATTGTATCCGGAGTAACTGTTTTATTAGAAGCTTCTCCTACTTTCCTAGTTACTGCGGGTGTATTTAATCGTGGATTATTTCCAATAAGTTAAGGTTCCGCTCTACAGTAAGTAGTTTCGGATGTCCGTTTCTACTTTTATTTTCGATGTTGTTTCCCTTATCAAATCGCTTGATGATGTACTGAACAGTTGAATGGCTTCATTTGACAGCACAGCTTTTGCTATTTCTATCAGCTACGTAATCTTAATATTATATTTCTTTCGGCAATTGTTGTTTCTTTTCCTTTCTGTCCAGACCCATGTAAACTGTAAACTGAACTGCTTCAAGAGTACCAGAATATAAAAAGAGGTCCATCGGCGTGTCCATGCTGGCAGCAACCAGTTAAATCCAGCTGCGTTCGATTACTGCTTACTGAAAAAGCTGCTGTACGAATACTTTTGCAATATACCTTCTGGATCATTTAAAATATTATTCTATTTATTTCCTACTAGCTTCTGAACTTTTCATTAATAATAACATTACTAAAGAGGTGTTGTTCTAAGTAATTTGTAGATGTACTGCTGTCATCGTGTAAACATTATTTACGTGATAACAGATCATTGTACCATTGCATGCTCTCCTGTACGAATACTTTGCTGGCCACTAAATAAATAACCCTTTTTGAGATCTCGGGTTAGAACTCTTATTGTGATTATTTTGTTAAAATTTTTTTATCCCAGAAGCTCTACAGGTTTATACAGGGTGTTCCTAAATAAGTGTCGCAACGGAACACTGTAAATTCCTCTTGAAAAAAGAAACATTCTTTTCCTCTTCCATTTTTCTCTCCGGGCTACCGTTTTCAAGATAAGCGGTGGCAAAACTTCCATTTTTTTAAATTTTTTGCCAATATCTTAGGATCCGTTTGAACTACAGGACTGAGTTTGTGTGCTACTTTTTCACACCCTTCTCGAATTCATCGAACTTGGCAGTGGTGGAGATTTTAAGGTATCGTAAGGGTTTTCCCCCCTAACTTTTACGCCATTGGAAAAATTAACATTTGACAGCAAATTCTGAAGCGCCAATGAATTTTACTCAAAAGGAGTTCTATTGGTTGATTGCTCTAAAGTCAACCGTTTTCAAGAAAAATTACTTTTTATAATATCTATTAATAGTGGTAATGTGTGTATAAATGCTCAGTCTTGTAGTTCAAACGGTTTCCAATATATTGTCAAAAATCTGAAAAAAAGTTTTGATGCTGTGTATCTCGAAAACGAAAGCCCGGAGAGAAAATTGGAAGAGGAAAAAAATGTTTCTCTTTTCAAGAGGAATTTACAGTTTTCCGTTGTGACACTTATTTAGGAACACCCTGTATTTCATCTCTTAAAGAACCGATATAAGTCTCGCACATAATCTTAATACAGGGTGTCCCGAAATTCATGCAACAAAATTTGGTCATAGATTCTTAAGACAAATTTAGGGGGACCCGTATTTTTTCTTTTTGCCAACTGACCCCCTCTTTCAGAGTTACAGCCCCCTGAAATCTGCCCCTAGGAAGTCTTTTTTATATCTCAAAACCATGTTGTACGAGAATCACTAAATTTGGTACATAGGGGTTTTATGACACTTTTTCGTGGGCCCCCTTGTCTTTGGAACCAGAAAAATTTGGTTACAAATTTGATTTTTTTTTAATTATTAGTTAGCTAGAAAGCCATTGAATTTAGAAACTTTTTTGTCTCTTGATATTTGTTTCGTAAAACGCAATGTTTTTGAGAAAAATGGCAAATCATGATATGCATTCGGTCACATTTTGACATTTTTCTTGAAAACATTGCGTTTTACAAAAAACGTATAGAGACAAAAAGTTTCTAAATTTAATGGCTTTCTAGTGGACTGATAATTTTTAAGAAATTTAAATATGCGACCAAATTTTTTTGACTCCAAAGACAAGGGGGCCCACAAAAAATTGTCTTAAGGGGGTTCTCCGCCAAAAAACGTTGTACCATCAGATTCCACATGTCATAAAACCCCTGTGTACCAAATTTAGTGATTTTCGTACAACAGGGTTCTGAGATATAAAAAAAAGATTATTCTTAGGGGCGGACTTCAGGGGGCTGTAACTCCGAAAGAAGGGGCCACTTGGCAAAAATAAAAAATTCAGGTCCCCTAATTTTGTCTTAAGAATTTGTGACCAAATTTTGTTGCATGAATTTCGGGACACCCTGTATAACATTTTGATTTTCACCAGCCATCACACTTTAGTTTTAATTATAATAAAATTCTTAACTGAAAAAAATATGAAAGTACAGAGATTTGACTTTTATTATATTTTATTTATATTTTACTTTACAATTTAATGTGCAAGTGCATTGTAAATTAACTATTTAAATTGTTTTATTATTTCATATTTGTTTTGATAAATTTTTTGAAATAATAGGTATTGTTATTTTATTTGAAAGTTAATAAAACTTTTCCTAAAGTATCACGTAATTTATTAGTTTTATACATATAATTGAGAATTTAATAAAAAAAAATAAATGATCAAATCACGACTCACAACATTCATGTCACTCAAATGCCAATTAGTACTACAAAAACAAATTACAACTAGACAATTTTTTATTATAGATATATTTGCCACAAATTATAAGACCCTGGTGCAAGAAGAGCCGATAATTTGAAAAATGAGATTTTTGTAAGCTTAAAAATATATTTTTTTTTTTGTCTATCGCAAATATGTATGGGATTTGTGGGATTGATAGAAACTAAACTAGTGAGATAAAATCATTTATCTTGTGCAATAATGACATAACTTTCATGCCACTTGTTTTGTTCTTGTTTTTTTTTGCATTTAATATTTATTCTAGTCATATGTTGGCCTAACATAATTTTGTAAGTAATAAATATATAAATTGTCCACTTCTTCTACCCGATATAAAGTAAAAAATAATATCCCATTGTAATGTGGCCGAAAACAGATACAGATTATTGGAAATGAAAATTTACGTATTATTTTCCTTCTTTAAATTTTCACAACAGAAATTGTCATATGCCATATAAAATAAAGCAAATTAAATTAAAAAGAAAAAACGGAATGATATATATGGTGGACATGGAAAAAATAGGAGGCTATGAGGGCCAAATGATATTTTTATTTGTCAAAAAGAAACAAAATTGTAGATCCCGTAAATATGACTTAAAGATTGAAATTGATACTGAAATTTACTTATATTACGTATAGTAGAAATGGAAAAATTCAGGGACTACGAGGATAAAAGGATTTTTTTATTCCTCATTTATTTTTTAGGATAAAAAAAATAGATCCCGCAATTATGGCACATTAAAAATTGGGATTTTGACAAATTTGGTAGATTGAAAAATTGATGTAATGTACAGAAATATGATAAAATGACAGTTTTTTAAATTTGTTGTAATTGAAAAATTATAAGTGTATTGATATAGGTAATTGTTGGAGTAATAAAATACGTGGTACAGATGTTAATTAATTGTATTTACAATTTTTCCATTGGTTTTAGTTGTGAATATATGATATATTGCATGCAGTATAGAATTTGAATGTTTACAGGAGTATAAAAATAACAATTATCGTCTATATTACACGTTCATCACTTTATCTCACTTTTTTTTTAAATAAATGATATACAGTATTAAAGTTTCATAAATTTATTAATTTTCGAGTAAGTTGATCTTAATAAGATATCCCAAAATGTATGTTTATTTTCTTATAGTTTTTATAGGGTATGGAAATATGGAATAAATAAAGAAATGAAAAAGATTCATGATATTGTATTTTAACTACAGTTTCTCATCGAAATTTTTTTAATATAGAAAACTTAATTTTCTTTCTTGAGATAAACAACAAAAAGATGATTTGTAGTAATATGTGAATGGGTGGGATATTTCCATTAATTTTGATACAATATTGATAATCCCTACTGAATTAAGGTTAATAACTTCAGAAATGTAAATGTAAAGCGAGAACTTTCAATAGCTTAGAAAATGGTATAATTTTGAGATTTAATTAATTTTATTAAATTGTTTTAAAAATTAAGATCCTTTTGTAATGTGATCAATATAACAAAACAGTATCAATATTATGAGTAAATTGTAAATTGTATGTTGTTGAATTTGGAAAGAAACTGGCCGAAAATTATAGTTCTGTTTAAAAAAATTATTCCATAATTTTCTTCCACACTATTTGTAAAAAGTAACATTAAAAATGTAGATATTTCAGCTTACATTTTAGTTCCTACTACCATTGTTATGTAAGTATAAATTGTCTGAAAAATAATAAATTCCTAACTAATATAACATGTCTGATGAGAACTATGGGAACTGTTTTGATATGTTTTCTTTTTTTTTTAAATAAATGAGACAAAATGCAATAAAACAGTAAAATTTTTCATATTTGTTTTTATCTGTTGCAGATATAAAATTTATCATGTGATTGAAAATATATTTACACTCATGTTAATCTAATACTGCTGATAATAAGACACAATCATCTAATTATATTCCAAAGTTATCAATCTGCAATTTGATTAGATAAAAGGAACCTACCTAGGTACTTTTTATTTTTAATTGTCACTGTAAATGTATGTTTAAATTTATTCTGATTAATTACCTAATTGCTAACTTCAATTTGTAAAAAATATCTTAATATATCTTAATCACTATTCAATGTGCGAGTTCCCAAAATTTAAGAATATATGCTACACATTTATTTGAATTGTTGCATTATTATTTTAAAATTACTTATAAAAGATAACGTTCAAAAAGTCTTCAATTTAAAATCACCAGCTACTTCAAGATGCATCTAACCGTTATTTGAGGAGCAGACTTTCTATAAGCATTTTGCCCATTATTTGAAATTTTCAACCAAAGGTGGCGCGACAATCTGAGAAGGTAGAAAAACATACTAAAAACATTTTGTCCCATGTAATGAAAACACCTTTGACAGGGCTGGAAAATCCACATGGTCCATCTGCCTTTACATGAGAGCGACAAAGTAAAGGAAATAAATCCGTGCGATAGACAAGGATGGCTATAGTGAAGACGTTTCATAATCTGGCCCGTTTCGGGTTAGAAGTGGGAGTGACTATTCAGATTAAGAAACGTCTTCAATAAGGATGGTTACCCTTGTCTATCGCACGGATTTCTACGACTTACTTTATCGCTCTGACGTAACGGCGGCCGATGTACCATGGGGACTTTCCGAACCTGTATATGCAATATGTCCAAGAATGAAAGATAAACTAATTGCAGTTTGTCCTTTGAATGCGGACATTATATTTAACAACCAGTATTCTACATTTGGATGGAACATCAGGCAAAACGTGGATCTGCAGAAATAAGTTCTGCTTTACACGATTTTCTTAATAAACATTGGGCCAGGTATCAAGCAAGTAAGGGTAAGCGGATAGTTGTGTCTGACAAAATAAAAAACGCACTTGATGCACATAGGTATGCTATGGTTGTGTAGATATGTCCCGAAAACTATTGAATCTGTGGTGGTGATATTTCCGGTGAGCATTCTTATTTGCAAGCAGACCGTGTTTTCGGACAAATAGAAAAATTTACACGGTCTTATAGTGCAATCAAGTCTCCTACAAAATACTATGACATTTACTCCAAGAAGGGTCACGGTCAAAAGCTTGGTACTTATGGACTGGATTGTTTCAGATATAAAGGCTGTGTTGATTTCATTAAAGAAAATTGAAGGGATCAGTGTGTCTAAAGGATTATTATTAAGAGATCAAAAAATTAATCCGACATTTTGCTCAAGATCGAGTTATTTTACAGAAATGACGATCCATCCAAAAAGTCTCAAACATCATTAAGAGGTGGAAGGAAGCTGGGAATTATACAGTTACCGGATGTGGCACTCCAAAGTCAAAATAAACCAAAAAAAACTTTTGAGTCTTTCAAAACTGCTAGTCGAATTGTCTGGTTCAAATTGGGTCGCCGATCCTCTGAGAGTTCACTCATGACTACAACCAATTTTTTCTAATAATGGTTATAACCAAAATCAACAAGATAATATTCAAGAAGATAATGATATTGAAGACGGTGACGTATGCGTCTGTAATAATGACGAAGAGCAGCTTCATGACATACAATGTTCGGTGAAATTTTCATTCTTTATGACGTTTTTTATTAAATAAAATAAAAGGTACTTTTATATTTAATTATGTTTTTTATATCCTCACTATACCAATTCAGTCGAGTTACTTAGTGTAGCCAAACAAAATGCAAATGTTCCATAGCCACACTTTAAATGCGGTTTGTCCAACACATTTTTTTATTTTTTAGAAAATGCTCAAAGGTAGATTTTTGTATCTACGTATTATAATTATGTGAATTTGTTTCATTTTTAACGAAATTTATTTTCTCGATAAATTAATCCAAAATGCATATATAAAAGTATAAGTTTTTAGATTTTTTCCACGTTCTTATAATAAATATACTTAGTCTTCAAAAAAATTATGTAGATAGTTATCGAATACATCGAATTAACTATTATTATTATACATAGGTATATTATTACTAAACATATCTGATATAAATAATAACATAAATAAATATTCCTCCAAGTTTTACTAAACAAAATTGCTGATAACTATTAACAGTACCCAATTTAAAAGGTCGTATACATACAGATTAAAATATATTATTAGGCGATACACATGAATAAAAACATACAAAAAAATAAAAATTTAAAATTGTTTCTATTTACTTTAAAAGTAATAAAATTAGGAACCCTTTTAAAGAAACAGATTATAAAAGATTCTACAATTGTTATCTATTGCCAGCAGCATTAGGCATTACAAACAACATTTTATTAATACATATTGAAATTATTTACATCATTTTTTATAAAGTAGGAGCATCATCTTCACACAGAAACTAGTGAATGATTTAAATGACTGGAGGAAAATTTTCATCTCTGTTTTTAACCGGATACAGCATACCTTGGCAAAGATTATAGCCGTTCTAATGAGAAACCAAACCACTGCTCCTTTCAGTGATTAGAATATCTTATTCAGGAATGTCTGGCTAGTAATTCTTGTAGAACTCGTTCCAGGTGGAGTTCCGTTGTCATACATGAAGCTGCTTATAGTTCCTGAAATGGGAAAACAAATTTTATACCTTCCTATTAAAGCAGATAAGTATCGAGAAAGTTTTTTGAATATACAATTTTCAGGTTGATCTGTGAAATGATTTTCGAAAATTGTATTTTAACAATTTTTTTCCCCTTATTTTTTGACAACCTGTGGAAATTTAATAGCGGCAAAGCTGAAATATGTACTGTTTCCATTGTGGAGGGTCAATAAATATATCTACCCAAATATTGTGCACACTGTCAAAGCAAATTTATATTATGAGTTGTGTTCAGAAAGTAACCGAAACTTTTGAATTACGCGCTAATGAAGATATTTAGTAACATGCGATTGGCAGCATTGCGCTACGCATAACCGCCTCTGTAACTAGATGGTCTTGGATGGTTGATATCTCATTTAGTTTTGTTACTTGAGTGCAACGTGTTTAAGTATTAGTGACGATTTTTGAAATGTGCTATTTTCTGGAACAACGAAGCTACCTAATATTTTGCTTAAAACTGGGGAAAACTTTAACGGAAACTTTTCAACTTTTGAACAGTCCAATGATGATGAAACATTTATTCAAAGGATCATAACGGGAGACGAAAGCTGAGTTTACGGCTACGACATTGAGACAAAAGTTCAGTCATCACAATGGATTGGCAAAGGTTCTACTTGTGATTTTTTCTTATTTTCAAAATTAAAATCACTGCTGAAAGGACGCCGTTTTCAGACTATTTATGACATCAAAGCAAATGTGTCACAGCTTTAAAGGCTATTTCAAATGATGGACTGCTTTGGGAAATGGAAACACTACTGGGAAGGAGAGGAGTACTTTGAAAGAGATAAGGATCAATATTGTATAAAATTAAAAATAAAGTTTAAAAAATAAAGTTCGGTTATTTTCTGAACAGACCTCGTATATAAAATTTTGACCTATTGTTTTAAATCATTTTAAGAGAAATATTGTACTTATAATATACACTATTTCATTACAAATTTGTTTTACGAGGTAACTAGATAGAGCCGGACGAGCACGAATTAGTGAATTATTATTAATAAAGTAGTATATATTTTAATGTTTGAAATAACAATTTTCAAGTGAATGAGGAAAATCTCACAAGAAATAAGAAAAATGTTTATTTTTTTTTATTTGGTTCAGTTAAGGGTAGGTAGGTACTTCTATCGCAGGGCGATATTTATTAAGTAAATCTTAAAACTTTGTTTAATAACGTAAGACCCAGGAACAACTTTATGTTGTCTCTACAATTCCTACGCCTCCCCTCGAATCTGCTTAGCGTGAATAATGCCAGTTATAAATCATTGTTAAGTTGTTAAGTGTTAGTTGTATTATAGTCATTTATAGTACTTAACGCTTGTAATATATCACACGGGTGTTTAAAAGTTAACCTTATTTATATATTATTAAAAAAATCTTTTTATCCAAGATATTTCATGCTGAATTTGGCACATTATAATGGCAGCTGTGGGGCAACCTAGGCTAATACTCACTAGGTACTATACTACTTAGAACAGTGGCCTAAAAATTTCGATCCAGAACAAATTAAATTGAGTGGACCTACATATGAGTCTTCATCTTTTTTACGTGCATGGGCTGCTGTAGACTAGAACTATTTTAATTACCTTTTTAACGTGAAATTTCTTATACTCTTACACACTTTTAATCTTTTGCTAACATTTAGTTACAATAAATGTTACATCTGTTGATTTACTGAAAAGATGCATTTTGTCTATACCTACATCACGTCAGATTTTTGTCTGTGCATGTTATTTGCGAAATAACAATGATTTATATATTTATAGGTAATTACGACATCTATTAGTATATTTTTTCAGCAATTTTTAACATCGTAAATGAATTGATTATTGACAAATGTTTGTATGACCTATTCTTGAAAATTTGTGACGTAGAATCTGCCATTAACATTTGATTCAATATTTTAAGTATCTGCGGATGTACTTCATGCAGGAAAATTTGAAAATATGATGTATATCGACTATTTAGTTTCTAATACATGGTATTAAATAAACGTTATACATAGGAGTGCGGTTATTAATTGGATGAAAAATATTATGACGTGCTTTAAAATGCGAAAATAAATGCTGTACCATTCACCTTCATTCTTCTAAAGAATAAGTGGAAGTGCAGTAGCATAAGCTTCATAAAGGGTGTCCCAAAATGCACAAGAAGTTATTTTGATAGAAAACACAATTTTTTTATTAAAAATTGTAAATTATTTATTGATTCATAAAGTATAGAGTATAAAAGTTATGTATGGAATAGCATATCGGGTAAATGGATTCCACGGATTTGCTGGCACATAGGCACTTTTTCTCGAAATTTTCCAAGAAATGGTCATAAATGCGACTGAATTTTATACTACGTTCGTTCAGTTTTCTCCTTCATGCCGTGGATGGTCGTGAGCTTGTTGGTAAACCTTAGACATAAAAAAAAACCAAAGAATAAAGTGAAATGGCTTTAAATCGCATGATCTGGTCCGATCGACCAATTTTGATTACCAAAACGGGAAATTATATGACCAGGAAATAAGTCATGCAGTAATCGAATTGTGTCTCGGGCTGTATGGCATGTGGCATCGTTTTGTTGAAACCACATGTAGTCTACATCTATAAATTGCAATTTAGGTGCAAAAAAACTGGATTAATTATCGTGTCACTATAGCTAGCACCATTAACTGTTATTGCATGACCAGCCGCATTTTCGAAGACCAAATCACCAAAGAGTGATACGTTGTGGATGCATTTATTTGTCAACAATCACTCGTGCATTTTCTGAACTCTAAATGTAACAATTTTGTTGATTAAGTCGATAACGCCGTCAATATGAAAATGAGCTTCATCGCTGAAGATGATTTTATTCGAAAAATCAGCATCCACTTGTGTTTCCATAGTTTATTCGACGAACTCTCTTCATTCTGCTTCAATTCTTGAGTAAATTGAAGTTTGTAGGCATGAAGATACACACCTTTCTCAAGAATACGCTGTAGAAGGCTTCGTGAAATGTCCAAATTCTTAACCACGATACCGAATTGAATATTCCTGGACTCTTAGCAACACTCTCACGAACTGCTTCGATATTTTGTTGTGAACGACTTGTTGAAGACGGCCAGAGTGTTTTAAATCACTAATTGATCCAGTCTTCCTGAATTTTTTAATTAATGCCTTTACAGTTGATGAAGTTAAATCACTATTTCGACCATATTTTGTACAAAAACTGCGAATTGTAGCTGCCAAACCTTCATTAATTTTTAAATATTGCTATTGGGACACCCCATAGAAACATTTTATGTTCGTTGTACTGGAAACTAGTTACACATGCAGATACATGCTAACATTCTGAACTTCATTCACTGATATTGATGATTTTTTTTGGAAATCCAAAGTTGGAGCTAAACTAATATACATTATTTTTTCATTTCGTTGAAGTATCCTTCTAACAATACAAAATGCAAACATTATCTTATCATTGAGTAAATACGTACAGATTCTACTGTCCTGACGTGAAGTCCATTTGTTCCAGTCGATTTTTGATCCTAAAATTTTTTAGTTAGCAGGAAACTTTATGTACATAATTTTACGTTAACGACACACAATTAGTTCATGTTCAAATAAATATAATGGTACCTATAACTTATACTATTTCATTGTGTAGAGAATTTTTTTGTCAAGGTACATACCATTCTTAATAATCCGATTTTGATCAGAAGACCCAGAGTAAGATTTACGTTTACTGGTCATAACTTCTCTTCTGGTTAGTCCTACAGGGCTCATTTGAACGAACGGTAAACAAACGAAAATCTGTTTGAAACCTCGTCGAAATCTAAAATAAAAAATGAATATGTTTGATTTATACATACCGCTACATAAAAATAATAAATACTTAAAATATACCAAGTTTATGTTATTTATAGAATAGTTAAAAATGCCGGTCTTTTAAGTTTATGTTATAACTTCATGGCGTCCCTTAGGTGATTTTGACCACTATCCTGAATTGACTATATGAGTCTATATTCAATTATTTTTTAAATAAAAGAAGTTTCTAAAATTATACAGTGTAACCTTAAAAATCCAAAAGAAAATTATTTGTGAAAACATTTTAAATTGTTTGACCCTTGTGCCCCTTCGCTATTCTTTAGGTAAATAAAATTTCAGCTTATTTTAGATTTACTTGATAGAATAGTTGGCTTATTTTATATTTAAAAAAATATTCAACACTCAAATTGAAAAATGGCTCATTTTTCGAATACAGTGGAAGACAGCTCTTTTCTTAGAAATTCCATTATCAATTAAATGTACGAGGATAAAATTCATGAGGAATGATTTTGATTATAAAATATTTTCCAAAATTTGCCCCCCTAAAGGAAAAATTGACATGTAACAAATGTTTCTATTGAAAATATTAATATTAAGGATTTCTACAATGAACACTGTGTATGAATACCCAAATAAATACCTAAAATACAAAATGCAAACACGTTGCTGTTAGACAAATTGTAGCGCTGGCTGTATGAAAAGAATAAAGATGCAGATCATTTGTTAAAATCTTCCGCATTGTGCATTTTGAAAAATTTAATTACAGTGACCGACGCACAGTGGTCGGAATTCCGAAAAAGCTGGACAAAAGTCGAAATTTCAAAGTCGTTGGTTTGCGTTAATACTTCAGAATATTCTAGAGAAGGAGTCACTGCGTAGTTCTTTAAAGTGACAGAGAACTGGCCTATGTGTATAAACCACAGCAACTATTGGAAGTATGCTGCGACACATTAACATATTTCACTTGCCACTGACCCCTCAAAAAGTGGTGAATTGAAAATACGTGCAAATTTTTACTAGGGTACGAATCGTTGTGTTCCTGGAGGTAAGTAGTAATGTTTTTATTGTTTTAACAAAAACGTCTTGCAATTTCCATCGATTTCAAACCACATCAATCGTAAATTATCGAAATAGTTGTGATCCCAAGAGATCCTGCACTATTGAAAGTTGGAAAATGCGGACAGGAGTGTCATTTTCAATTTCATATATCAAAAGAGAAAACCACCGGATTTTTCCGGATTGGGGTTCTGAGTCATTTTTTGTGCCTCCATGTACGGCCGATTTACTATTGTAAGAGGCCTTAGTTATACAATGGCTAGCGTTTTAGGGTTTCTTCACGTTCCAAACGAGCGTTTCTAATTCAAATTGTTTTTTTTTATGAACATGAACACCTTTTTCGTTTGCCATTTATCATATCTTTACAAGCTTTTATTTAACTTGCCTTGTTAGTATGGGTCAAATCTTGCAATGAATTTTAAAACAGTTTCCCCAATCGATTGAGCTGAAATTTCGCATACACGTTTAGTTTGGATGACAATGCCTGGTTATGATGTCATTCTAAATCCAATATGGCGGTCTACCAAAGTTGTCGGACCAGTTATTATTTTTTATGCACCCCTATGGTATCAAATATGATATGGGTATCAGATGAAAGGGTTTGCTGAGAAGAACACGAAAATAAAATAGTCACTAAAAGCTTGTTTTATTAAAAAAAAAATTATAGATGAACTTATTATCTATGATCTTTCAATTCAAAATTTATCATTTTCACAGGATCATGGTACCAGTAAAATTACGTGCACGAAAAATAAATTTTTCGATTTTTGAAAGGAAAATTCTAAGAGAATTTAAAAACGCAAATCACCATTTTAGATCAACATTTTTTAAAAAGGTGCAAGATAGATGAAAATTATGTGACAGATGATGACGGTGCGAATGACTCATGTGTATTAGACTTAGCTAAATAATTAGAATATGCTTTATAACAAGAATAAGTTTCAATAGTATTTAGAAATGGTTTCGTTCGAAATGAGAAATTTTTCAATTCAATTTATTCAATTTATTACAAACATAGGACACATATAATAATACATATACATGTATATAACCTAAACCTAACAAATAATCAATCAACTGTGTAGTAATATCTCATATTGAGATGAGTCACCTAAGCTTAGCTTGTTCTGTGCATACATCTCAAATATGTATAAAATAACCTACTACAACATAATACAATATGAGAGCAGTGATGAGAGATTAACAAATTATTTTTTAGTAGCTAGTAAGTAATCTATTTTGTTATTTATATATCATAAACCACTTTAAGTTTATCGTAATTTTTTTTTATATATTCTTTTAGTTTTTTTTACGAGTTTAATATTTGATGTATTTTTTACTTCTTTAGGTAATAGATTGAACAATTTAGGGCCGAAATATGAAAAAAATCTTAATTAATTCCAAATACATGCCTTATAACGCAGATATTTGCCTTTCGTACTTTATTAATAATAATTAATTACCTCAAAAACCTCAAATTCCGGCCTTACATATGTTTTACGCGACCTCAATACCAGAGGCACTTGAAATTTCAATTACATTCTATAAATTAACGTAATATATCGGCCATTTTGTATCAGCCATCTAGAATTTGAGATTTTTTACTGCAAATTCGGTTTTAGCGACCTGAAAAACATATAGTTCCCACTTTTGCTGATGATGCAAGCCTTTTTGGACTTTTGTCCAGCTTTTTCAGATTTCTGACCACTGTGCGACGGCGCATTGAGGTTACGGGAATTTTTGCCACACTATGTCTCACCCTAGCAATATTTTCGGTTGAACGGCTGGTTCGTGGCCGGCCTGTTTTTTATTGCCTGCAACTGAAGCTATTTGTTCAAATTTTGCAACTAATCTTTTCACAGTTGTTTCATTCGGGGCGTTCCTTCTATTGAAAATTTCCACGTAATTTGCGCACAGTCTCAGCTACACACTCCCACTCTCCGTACTTGTAATGAATTTTAAAAATCTTCACTCGCTTACCCGTCTTATAATTATAGCGCTACATTTTGTATAACCGCAACTAGTTATTACAACATGTGACTCTGCACAATACTGCCAACTCTTCGGAATTAAAATGATGCATATTCAAATCCTGTTTTACTTTTGGGACATTCTTTATTACAATTTTGTTTCGAAACATTACTGAATTGTTCTATTTTCAATATCTACTTTCCTACTTCCGGTAACAAGATTTATCATGCAATTAAAACAAATTCCGATACAAATTTGGAGCGAACAAGCAGAAATTTGGCAAAAGTCCGATGATTTGATTAATGAGAAGGAAGTTTAAACTGATATTAATATTGGAATAAAATATTTTCACTACAGGTTTGTTTCATTGTAGTGGTATTCTTTTCATTTGTCGAAATACAGTGACCACTTACATAAAATGTATATTGAGACATTTCATTAAAAACATATTTATTTAAATTTTAACACCCTGAATCTTAAAGACGAGATCCTCAAGAACACGTGATCATATAAGAAACCAAAACTAATAAAATGTTTGAAGAATTTTAATTTTTTTTGTAGGTATCGTATCTAAAACTTTCGGAATTTGTAATTGTAAAAAAATAATAAGGGCTAATCAGCTGTATTCTGTATCTTATAGGTTAAAATTAACCATCCCGTTAAAATATTAATTTTAACCCTACCGCTAAAAATAATAACTACAACTGGTATTCTGTATAAGTTTTTTTAAACAGCCCAGCTAAAATAATTTTATTAGCCGTACGTTAATTTTTCACTGTTATTGAAGTTAGCAGTATATATTTCAGTATATATTAGCAGTATATATAGCAGTATATTTTTCCATGGGTAAAAGACGTCGATTTATGATAATATAACCTCGATTGGTGGATTAGTACAAGTAAAGTAAACAATTTATAAGATTCTTGTGATTTAGTCGAGTTAAGGGGGATGAAAAAAAGAAATACAACAAAAAAAAACAGATCCAGTTAATTGTTGACTTTTTGGAAGTCAAACAAAAAATTACACCAACATTAAATTGTGGTTGCAAATAAAGCTTGAAATGATTTAATTTGTAAGGCCATTATAACATTTATAAATAATAGAGATGATACATTTCACTGAAAGTTTAATTTTATCTCCAAAAAGGGGATCGAAGATAGCTTTAAGAATAATTTGTTTTCGATTAACGTTAAATTATATACTGAATTTATCCCGCTTTAATCATCACTCTCTCTTTGAGACGGCAATGTTATCGAGTTCAATTTAAAATACCCTATACTCAAATTCATATACTATACAGGGTGGCCAAATGAAAACGAAACAGAGCCATTTTCAGGAACTGCGTCAAGATTGTAGAAAAGCGCTCAGACCCGTCGATTTTAGATTAAAGGGGGACATTCTTTGCTGGTATTTTTGACTCCGCCACTGTCACCCCCAAGCAAGGATAAGAATCACCCCAAAATATTTAAATGGCATTGGGGGTTGAGTAATATTTCTTTTGAAAGCTCTTACAATTCTCTTTACAACAGACTTCAAATTTTATAATTCCGCCCAATAGTTATTAAGAATTTTGATTTTAAAGTTGAAACTTATGTACAAACAATTAGTAACGGTAAAAATGTCAGTCATTCGAGTTAAGTACGCCAATGGTATAAATTTAGTATTTCTTGCGTTACATTGGTTTTTGGCGATTTGTTATCACTTTCGTAAAAAAAAACAATTGTAAAAAACAGAAATGAATGCTATACACACACAATGAACGTAAAATTAGTGGATTCCAAATTATTTTCTAGTATTATTTGGAAGCGTTGGTTGGTAGTTTATTTAATTGTGTTTTTGAAAATTAAACACTATGGTTTATTCCATTGCGGAAAGGGTAGATATCATTTCGCTTTACTTTATGAACAATAAATGTGCGAATAGAACAGCTCAGCTATTTAATGAACAACATCAAGATCGACATGTCAGGAGGAAGTATGT